AGGTGTATAAGATAAATCTTATTGACACCATCATGGAGCAACAAGAGGATTCAACTGGAAGATACTTAGAAATCTGTATAAGGAAGTAATTGTTCAAGAAGAAGAAGTATGTGGACTAGCCTTATGGGAACCCAAGTTTGAAGAATTACCACCAATTGAGAAACAAGTTATATCATCGACTGTTCAACCACCCAAGGCTAAATTGAAGCTACTCCTATAAACCTTGAAATATTCTTATGTAGGGAGTGATGGTACTTTTGGGTGGTGATCAATTCATCCTAGTTACCTAAGCAAGAACCAAGGATACCACAATTGTTGAAAGCCCACAAGGGAGCCATTAGGTGGACTATAGTAGATTTAAAGGGGATTAATCCCCTCATATGCACCCATAGGATCTACTTTGAAGAAGATGCAAAGCCTTCCCATCAACCATAGCAATGATTGAATCCCGTAATGAAAGATATGGTCTGAGTTGAAGCTCTAAAACTGCTTGATGTAAGAATCATCTTCCCTATTGTTGATAGCAAGTGGGTGAGTCCTACAAAGGTAATTCCTAAGAAGTTAGGAATCACCGTGGTCGCTAATGAGCATAACGAGCTTATTTCAACAAGAACAATGACTAGATGGAGGGTTTGCATAGACTATAAGAAGCTGAACGTGTGTACTCGAAAAGATCATTTCCCTTTGCCATTCCTCGATCAATTGTTAGAGAGGGTGGCAGGGCATGCCTATTACTACTTCCTAGATGTATTTGGGATACAATTAGATCGAGATAGCCCTTGAAGATTAGGAAAAGACAAATTTGACATATTCCTTTGGAACATTTACCTACAGAAGGATGTCATTTGGGTTTTGCAATGCCCTAGGCAAGTTCCAGAGGTGCATGATCGAGATTTTCAATGATATGGTAGAGAAAATTGTCGAGGTTTTTATGGTCAAATTTTCTATTTTTGGTGATTCTTTTTAGGGATGTTCAAATAATTTGGAGTTGGTGCTTTAGAGGTGTGAAGCTAAAGGATTGGTGCTTAATTGGAAAAAGTGTCATTTCACAGTGGCATATGGGATAGTACTTGGTCATATTGTATATTAAAAAAGGATAGAGGTAGATAAGGCTAAGGTTGAGTTAATTTCAAATCTCCCTAGTCCCAAGACTATTAAAGATGTCCGGTAATTTCTTGGTCATGCTGGGTTTTACAAGCAATTCATAAAGGGTTTTAGTGCCTTGACACGACCTTTATGTCATCTATTGGCCATCCTTGACCTATTGACCAAGGATGTTCCTTTTGAGTGGTTAGTTGATTATGAGGCAACTTTCAAAAACCTTAAAAATTGCTTATTTCACCTCCAATTATGCAATTACTCAATTAGGGACTTCCTTTTGAGCTCATGTGCGACATGAATAATCATGCGATCAGTGCAGTGCTAGGCCAATAGAAAGACAAGAAACCCCATGTTATTGACTATGCTAGCAAGACCTTGAATGAGGTTCAGATGAACTATGTTGCAACTAAAAAGGAGTTGCTAACAGTAGTTTTTGCACTTGATAAATTTAGGTCATACATTATAGGGTCACCTATTGTTGTTTATACTGACCATGCTACTTTGAAGTTTTGCTGACTAAGCAGAATGCAAAGCCAAGGTGGATTAGGTGGATCCTTTTTCTTCAAGAGTTTCACATCATTATCAAAGACAAGAAAGAAGTGGAGAAAGTGGTGGTTGATCATTTATCAAGGCTCATGTTTGAAGACATATATGATCACATCCCTATCCCTGTATTTTTCCCTAATAAGCATCTATTTACTTTAAAAATAACTATGTCATGGTATGCTAACATTGTGAATTATCTTGTTATAAGGACAAGAAGAGATTTTTGGTTAAGAAGAAGTTGTTCTACTTTGACAATCTACATCTGTTCAAAAACTGCCCTGACCAAGTGACGAGGAGATGTGTGCCCGATGAAGAGCAAAAGGACGTGATTGCTTTTTGCCATTCAGAAACTTGTGGAGGCCACTTCTTATCCAAGAAGACATCAGCTAAGATCTTACAATGTAAGCTACACTCGAGATGGACATGTCCCTTCATAGTACTTACAGTTTTCCCTTATGGAGTGGTAGAGCATGAGGACCCAAAGAATGGGCAAACATTTAAGGTCAATGGTCAGAATTTGAAGACATTCTTGGAGGGTTTTCCATCATAGGATCTTCTTGATCTTGTTTATCAGGATCTTCTAGTTAATTGATCTTCTTCCTTACATGATTTGTTGTACATTAGTTAGTTGTTTTTTTTCATTACTTTTCTTTTAGTTTTGCAGTTTGATTTCCTTTTGGAATAATTCTTTTCAAGTGACCTCGTTCCCTTATCGATTTCATTTTTTGTCTTTCATATAGTTATTTTTGTTGCATTGAGGACAATGCATAATTCAAATTGGGGGGTGAGAGTTTACACCATTGTTCTCTGTTTTCTATGCTTCTTTTTATTTTGTGTTTGTTTTGATTGTTTGTTTGCTCCTAAAAAAAAATTTTTTTAGCTATTTTGAAAGTATGATGCTTGAGTTGAATTCTTTGAGAACTTTGATATGTTGTGGTACTTTGAGCTAATTGCATATGGACTATTGGATGGAATTTATTACATGCTTGAGTATTATGCTTATATTGTCATTAAATACTCAAATTTTATGCATCATGATCGTCAAGTTCTTGTGATTTGTTGAAATGGGTTTTTGACTTTCAAAGCTTGACATTTATAGTAAACCTTATAAACTAACCATTACGGACACATACCTAATTGTGCCTTAAAAGTTGTACGATATGCCTACAAAGCATCGGTCAACAGAAAACCAATCCTTATGGTTTGGGTTAATTGTGTTTCTCAAGTATTTGTTTAATCTCCTTGTTAGCTAGCTCAATTTGGCCATTGGTTTGTGGGTGGTAAGCAATGGACGCTTTCTGTGTAATGCCATATCTATGCATCAAAGTCAAAAATGGCCTATTAAAAAAATGCATGCCACCATCACTAATTACAGTCGTAGGCATCCCAACTCCAGACAAAATGTTTTCCTTAAGAATTTGATCATAACTTTATAATCATCGGTCCTGTGGGAACCGTCTGTACCCATTTCGAAACATAGTCAACTGCCAAGAAAATATAACCAAAATATATAGGAAAATGACCCATGAAATCGATGCTCCAACAATCAAAAATAGCAACTGCAAAGATGAGAGTAAGGGGCATCATATTCCAAAGGGTCACACTACATAACCTCTAGCACCCTTCATAACTCTTACAGAATTGTAAGCAGTCTTTGAAAAAAGTCGGCCAATAGAAACCCACACTACAAAATTTTTTGTTGCGACTTCTTGGAGGAAAAATGACCTCCACGTGCTTTTGAGTGGCAAAAATGAGATGATGTCGTGCTCCTCACCATCTAGTACACATCTCCTCATGAACTAGTCAAGATAATACTTGAAAAGGTATGGGTTATCAAAATAAAACTTCTTCACCTCCACCAGAAATTTCATTTTCTCCTGTGGACTCCATTGCAGTGGTATCTGTCCTATAACAAGGAAATTTACAATGTCAGCATACAAAAGACAAGTTGTATTAATAGAAAATAAATGCTCATTAGGCAATGTATCATGTATGGACAAGTGTTCTTCTGTGTCCTAAAAAACCAACTATGATAAATGACTGGCCACCACATTCTCATCTGTTTTCTTATCTTTGATGATCAAATGAAATTCTTGTTGAAGGAGGATCCATCTAATAAGTTGCACTTTGCATCCTATTCAACAATAAATACTTCAAAGCAACATGACCAGTATAAAAAACAATAGATGAACCAATGATGTAACATTGAAACTTATCCTAGCCAAAAACTACAACTAGTAATTCCTTTTTAGTGGTGGTTAATTCATTTGTGTTTCATTTAAGGTCTTACTAACATAGTAGATGACATGAGGTTTCTTGTCTTGTTGATGGCCTAACATAGCTCCGACTACATAATCACTTGCATCACACATGAGCTCGAATAAAAGTTCTCAGTTTTGTGGTTGCATGATTGGACATGAGATCTGATGAGAGTATAATATTACATATTTAATGTCTCATATCATTCATCTTAACTCTGTTAGTTATATATTTGCTTTGTTTTAGCTTAGTTTTGTGTTTTATAGAAGCTATTCGTGTTTGCATTTAAATTAATGTAAGAACAAGGTTTTGTATACATTTTGATGCTTTGGAAGACTTTGGCAAGGAGTTAAAGGAGATAGAAGTTGAGCCAAAAGCATTGTTATAAGAATTGGGAAAAAGACTAATTCTACCAATAGTTTTCCTACCGGTTCATCAAGTGGCAGATTGTGGTTCTGGCAATAGTAGTGAATTCCTACTGGTAGAAGTAGAATAGAAACTTTGCAACCGATAGGTTATTACTGTGCTACCAATAGGTTTGAAACAGAGAGCAATTGTACCAGTAGCTGTGAAGAGCTACCAATTCGTGAGGACCAATAGCTTTGCTACCAGTAGGCTGAATTGTGTTTCCTGCTGATTCATTAGTGTTTTCCTGCTGTGAGGACTCTTTGATAAGTCTATCTACCGGGATTTTAAAATGGCCATGATTGGTGAATAATTTTGAAGATAATCAGCAGATATTCTACTATAAATACCAAGGCTAAACAAGGGAGGAAAGGATCAGTTGATCGATCATTCATTATTCTATTTGTCCTTTAGCCGTTTCTTCTACCTAGAATTAGGGTTTTCTCATTCTAAAAGAGTTCTTCCATTATTTTCTATTCTAGGCTTTGTTCTACTTTCAGTTGTTTAATTTCTAGCAAGGAAAATATGTTGGTTCTCATTTATGTAACGATTTACGATTCTTTGCATTCAATTCAAAGTATTTACTTTCTGTTGAGATTTCGATTCAAGTTCAATTTTTTTATTATGTTGATGTTTATTTCAATTAATTTTTTTTTTAATTTCGTAATGAGTGAGTAGTCATTTTTCAGTTTGATGGGTGCTATTGGCCACTAACCACTTGCTCATCGGCTGATCGGGCTCCGCGTTTCAAGTTTGTTAGCCTAACCGTCTCCTTTGCTCCACCGGAGCCTAGCCCCTCCTTCTATCTTATCTACTGCCTTGCTCCTTGGCTCCATACTGCTCCAACAGCTCACTATAATAGCTTGCTTCTCGGGTGACTCGCACCCTGGGTGGTGCAGCTAAGGAATGAAGATAAGTCAATGCGAGGAGGAGGGAGCCCCCGCCCTATCGAAAATGACAAGAAACTCAACTATTTGGCAAGCCAGTCGAGGTGTGGAGTTTGCTAGCGAAGTTCCTACCATACCCTGTCCTTGCGGGAACTCCGGTGGAAATCTAAGGCTCTTCCTGGCTATTGAATTAGGTAGTCTCATCTGAGAATGGAGATTTTGAACTAACTAAGGTTTTTCCAAAGATTAAGTTATTTTGTTGATTGAATAATTTAAGTTGAAAAAATGAGTGATACTATATCTTCTTGCTTATCCGTATACAATTAGGTTTGGTGCATATAATTGTTGGAATCACTATAATTAAAGTAAATGTAATTCTTTCAAAATCAACCAAGTTAGGTTTAACCTTCATTTTTTCTAAGGAGACAACCTCAATAATAGACCAAGTTATTAAATGATATATTCTCGTGCTTAGGAAACACATTTATTATTTGACCACTTTTAAAAGCAAGCAATTTTGGCGTCGTTGCCAGGGAAGACATTTCTAATTTGAGAGCTGATTTGAACAAGCATTAAGTAAGTCATGTGATTTCCATCATGAGCTCTAGTATGTTCTATGTTGTACTTTTCTTTTCATTTAATTTTCTTTTATTTTTAATTTTAGTTCTCATTTTTGCATGTGGGTACGAGACATGATACACAATAGACTTATTAAACTCGACCCCACACACACTTTAATATGGAAGTGTTAAACAACAATGATCCGCAAAATGAGGGGAACAAGGAAAATAACTTTCCACTGGTTCCTCCCATTATTCTTGAGAATGTTGGAGATAATCTCCCACATGTTCTCTTGTGAGGACAATGAGAAAATACCTCTAACCTACTCGTTCCTATGCACCTCCTTGTATACATTTGCTGGTGCAGGCACAAGCTTTTGTCGTTAAACCTAGAATGGTCCAGCTTCTCCCCCAATTCTATAGTGTGGATTGGGAAAATCACTACCTCCATATCAAGGAGTTTGAGGAAGTAGTTAGCACATACCTTGAACAAAATGTGCAAGAAGAGGTAGTGAGGATGAAGTTGTTCCCATTCTCTCTAAAAGACAAAGCAAAATCTTAGTTGGGTTGATTTACAAAAGGAATTCTTAAAGAAATTTTTTCTAGTTCATAGAACAACTACTTTGAAGAGAAAAATTCAAAACTTTTTTGAAAAATCAAATGAACAGTTCTATGACTGTTGGAAGAGGTTTAAAGATTTCTTAAATGTTGTTCTATATCCTGGCTTTTTTCATTGGTAATTGGCGAGTTTATTCTATAAAGGAATTACACTTGTATATCGCCAATTTATTAACATGATGTGCAATGGAGAGTTTTTTAGCAAAGAGCCCAAAGAAGCTCTAGATTACTTTGAGAACTTTGTAGAGAATGCCCAATCATGGGATATTTTCATCTTGCTGAGCAATCAAAACAATCTATTTCGTCCCAGTCTATAGGGATGAAAACACGTTTTAGAGGATCAAGATGAGTTATTAGCCAAGATTGCACATCTATCTAGGAAAGTGAAAAATTTAGAAGCAAAGAAGGTGAATAAGGTGTCAATGTACCTCAGAATGAGGAGTCTTGCATGATATGTGAGTCAATTGAGCATTCTATTAAGGAGTGTCCAACCATACTAGCTTTTAAGGAAGTACTCCATGAGCACGGGAATGCTTTTAACTAGCCAAGACAACAATTTTCTCCTTACTCAAACACTTATAATCAATGTTGGCATAGTCATTCTAATTTCAGTTGGAGAAATTATGCCTCAACTCCACCTTTTTTCCCTATGTCTTATGCCCCTTCTAGTCAACAAGTGTCCGGTCCCACTCAGTCTTCAAGCAATCAATCTCTGCGTGCAATACAAGGGTTTGTTTAGAACCCACCTTCACAAGGGTTTGTTCCCCAAGGATAACCTATTGTACCTCCCTACTAGCCCCCACATAAAAAAAAGTCTAGAGGATATCATTCATAAATTCATTCAAAATTAGACAACCATAAACAATCAGAATGCATAAGATTTCAATGATATAAGAACCTAGATGACCAAGTTGACCAACAATATGGGTGTGCTTCATAAAGAAAAAGGGAAGTTCCCAGCACAACCCTAAGAGAATCCGAAGGGTCAACATGGTCGAGGCTTCTAATATGGTTAAAAGCACTAAACAGCAACTTAAGTCAATCACCCCTTTGAGGAGTGGTAAAAATGTTGACAAAACCATTCTACCTAAAGTTTCTAAGCCTACAGAAAAAGAGACTCAGGGTACCTCCAAGGATGGTGACACACTTGAGTTGCCAGAGGTTGTTAAGTCTAATACTATTTTATGTGTTATTCATGCACCCTACTCTAACAGATTAAAAATGCTTGCTAAACAAGCTAACTATGCTGAGATTCTTGATTTCATTTAACATGTGAAAATTAACTTTCCTCTACTTGATGATATTCCATAGGTGTCGTCTTATGTGAATTTTCTGAAAGACCTTTGTACCGTTAAGAGGAAGTTAAATGTTCAAAAGAAAGCATTCTTGATAGAGCAAGTAAGTTCTATCGTATCATTAGGGACTTTCGGGTCGAACAAACACATTTAGACTTAAGTGTGAGTATGAATCTTCTACTCTTCTCGATATAAAATCAGCTAGGTGATGAGCGCATAATATTCCATATTTAACGGCCTCATTACATGCATTTTAACTAAACTTTGCATTTAATTAGTTAGAGTTCGTCGAACTTATGAATAATATGGAATTTTTGATGTTACTTGTAATCATAAGGTAAATGATAGTTTTCAGAACCCTACAACATGTGTGGATGAGTGGTGAATAGATGGACACATTACATGAGGATTTAGAGGCTTAAAAGTGAAAGAAATCAAGGAGGTATCGATGCTTGGTAACATAGGTACTGGCATCCACACCATTTGATAGAAGTACCTCTATATTCCCCATTTTTGACCATGATCCACTTCGAATTTGAAAAGTGCAAAACATAAAAGTTGTAGATATGAATATCCTTTGCATTGTGTAAAAAATTCAGCTCAATCGGACGGTTCGATCAACAAATATGACAAATTTATGAAAATTGATCGTGAACTTGCATCTCCCTTAAGACCTTCCAGAAGGTTTGCACACTGGAAAATTCCTTCCGGAAGGTTTGGCCCAAAAGCGCCAAACACCTGTAACTCAAACTCCATTTGCTTGGGGGTCACACATATGATTCTCCCACACATCCCTTGACATAGTTTACATATATGCATGCCTACCTACACCCTAATATCAGCTTTGGAAGATGGAGGATGGGAAAGTAGGAGAGAAAAGGAATGAGGCATGGTGGGTGCAAGCTATGCTTGTCCTAGCCTGTCCAATGCATCAGCTCACCTCCCACTAATGGGAGGCCTGCACACACATAGCTAAAGGAGCCTCATGGATGAAAATGCATTAATTCTTGCACCATTTATTCAGCTTCACACAAGCTTTTGAAGAGGAGGAGGCTACCTAAGCTTAGGAGTAGTATAGAGAGAGAAGCTCCCAAGGAAGAACATGAAGTTCTAGAGAGAGAAAGTTAGGTTTTTGCATTTTCTTCTCCATTTTAGTTGTAGTAAGCTTTAAATCACTTGTAATCTTTATTTGTTGCACTTTAATCTCCTATATTTCAAGTGTATTAAAGTTTAAGTACATTTTCTAGCATTTCAAGTTTTACATTTGGGTATTTGCCTTCAATATCTGTATATTGACTATGAATTCCATTTCTCTTGTAGTTACTCTTTTCTTGCATTAATACAAGCTCCATGTTTCATTTCTTCACCATGTCTCTTTTTATTATGAATGTTTTTGTTTTAACTATGGATAGCTAAGTTTTTAGTTGGCTAATCCAAGGGAGATTTCCTCTTGGGTATGCTAAATCAACTCTTCACCATTATTTCTCGTAGTGTAAGGTGTTAGGTTTGACTAGGTTGAGTGCAGACGTGGTTGTGAGCTCTTGATACACCATAGAGTTGTCACAAGATATACTTGAGCCTACACCTCCACATTAGTCCCTCACTTCCTACGAATCAATCAAGTACCGAGACACCATTGGTAGAATTTTTTGAGTTAATTTGGCATTTCCATTAGAATGACCTCTTCAGATTAGCTAACCTTGTTTTCATTGTATTTTCATCAAAGACTCCACTCACCAAAACAAAAAACTATAAGATTTTACACTTTTCATTTCTTTACAAATACACATTCACCATAATTTGACCTTCCTTCCTTGAGGAGACGACCTTGGAATACTCATTCCAAGTAAAACACGACACTCAAAAGTCTCTCTTCGCTTGGAGAGCACTTTTGCACACACACACACACAATTTGTTTATCCACACACATTTTCCCCATTTCTAGCATTGAACCCGAGGGAGAGTGATAGTCATCTACTCATATAAGCCATATACACATGACTGAGTGATGTTCGAAAATTAGGGTGAACGCAATCAAACATTTTTGGCACCGTTGCCAAGGAAGGTTAAGTGTCGAGTTCGAAGGTGATTTTGGACAGCATAGTTAAGTTTCGTGATTTTCATCATGGACCAAGATATGTCATCTCATTTGTAAATAGTTTGTGTTTTGTGTTATGTTTTCTAATTTTTATGAAAATGTGTTAAATGCCCCAAATTTTGAAAATGTGTGTGAGATTTGTGATGAGTATGGGCACATCACTAGTAAGTGCCCATTGAATTATATGGTTCAAAACTTTGCACTTGAAGGATCAATTCAATATTGGCCCCCGAAAATTTTTACCCTGACTATTATGTTGCAATTAGTTATCCGAGTTATGGTTGGGAGAAGGAACCTTAAAATTTTCATCCGATCTCACACCACCAAATAAATTTTTTCACTATCCAACATATAAGGACTCAACCAAACAAGAATTGAAAAATACTTTTTGTGAGTTTATGCTATTCCAAATGGAAGTCA